CCAGGGTGTTTATTCAAATAAATACGGTAATAATAATGATTAATAATATGCAGTATCTTATAGGCCTCAGTAAATGATATAATTGTGTTATTCTTTTAGGGGTTGCTGTACTCTAGTCCCGAGTGCCTGAAGACACCCAGTGATCTAGTTCGGCTTTGGATGCATGAATCCGATCGAGTCTACGGTGACAAGTTCATCGATGAAAAAGACATTGAAACATTCCAAAAAGTTTTGGTAGATTTTGGCAAAAAATATTTTGAGGTTAGTTACCTATCAGTTACCATAATTGTATTTGTGTTAATATTGTATAATGTTTATGGATGTAGTGTTCTAATGGTTGATACATTGAATTACATTGAATTTGATTCTATCTTTTAGTGTATCACATCCAATCACAAGTAAGAAACTCAGGATGTTTTAATTTTTAACAAAGAAGGCATGATTAATATTGGCTCACAATGGATCACCATGTGACAACCTATATATCTCAACTCTAATTGTTAATGATTTATTTCTTTTTATTCTAAAGCACTTGAAATATTATAACATGAACTATACAAAAACACTATATATCATTGTACTGTTATTTTTATTCATTTTTTTATATTGTTATTGCTTTTATTCTTAAGTTATTTCTATTATAAATATTTTGATTACCCTTGAACAGGGGTTTAGCCAGAAAAACGAAATAGGCCGTCCAAATATGCTTTAGTTTAATGCAACATTTGATAGATTCAAAGAATATAAAGAATTTGCTAAAGGTAGACCAGGGCAAACTAGGCTAGGCGAGCTGAGTATACCAAGCTGTCGCGGTAAAATTGGTCGTCCTAAATACTTTTTGGCCGTCCAAAAGACAGCTGGACGGCTCGCTGGCTAAGCCCTTACCCTTGAAATGCCAGAAGTTGATATTAATTTTTTTATAATGAAATTGCACTGTTATTTTTATATTTGATATTGTTATTACTTTTATTGTCATCCATTGCTATTATAAATACAGTTGAACTTGCCTAAGTCAAATCCAAAATGCCATTGAAATATTGTTTGACTTAGATAAAATTTGACTTACAGATTGTTAATGGAAAACACAACAATTAGGCATGTAAAATAAGATCGACTTAGAAATTATTCTACTTAGGTTCAGTCAACTTAGGCAAGTTTAACTGTAATTTTATTATATCTAAAATTGCAGTTGATATCAGTTTTTAAAATGTTCTTTTTAGGATGTTGATGAGGATACATTTACTAAAAAGCCCAACATCTTTTGCCATTTTGCCGGTGGCATTGGTGATCCAAAGTACCTCGCCGTTCCTGGCTGGGATGAGCTCAGCAAGATCCTAGTGGAAGCCTTGGACAGTCACAATGAAATCAATGCTGTTATGAACCTGGTGCTCTTTGAAGATGCCATGCAACATGTGTAAGTTAGAGGGCGCTGTTCTATACATTTGATGTCACTTGGTGGAAGGTCTTATGCCCTGTCCAGACTATCGAATGTGACATGCCTAAATATGGTCAACATCATGACCATATATAGGTACATCATGACTATATATGGTCAACATCATGACCATATATAGGTACATCATGACTATATATGGGCATACAACATTTTTTTTGTCAAAGACAATTTTCTAATCTGGACAGACCTTAAGCCGTAGCAAGATATATATATTTTTTTATTTTATTTTATTTATTTATTTATTTATTCTTATATAGTTATACTTAAAAGAGGCCTTCTATTATTATATTTAATTTTCTCTATATAGTATGTTACTTATGTTTTATATAAAGTATAACTTATGTGAGTTTCATTTATAAATTAATGTGATTATGGAAATAAAAGGCTTGGCAAAGAAAAAAAAATATTATAGTTAACAGTTGCAGTATTTTTATGTTTTAACAGATAATAAGATCAATAAATACTTTTATAAAAACAACATTTCTTTAATTGTCCATCTGGTCAAATATGTGAAAATTTTTGTTTTAAACTGACAATTAAAAATGCACAGATAAAACTAATCTTAAATAAATTAGAGAATCAGAAAAAAACAAGCTCAACATTTCATTGTAGAACTCTCAATCAAGCAAAGTTAGAGTCTGTTTTAAGTATAAAATTTATCATTTAAAACATTAATTTGTAATCCAAGCTTACTGCAGAATACCAGTTAAAATACCGATGAAATCTAAAACTACAACAAGGGTGACCTCTTTTAACATAATTCAGAAATGAATGCAAAACATACTCATTTATGTGACCTTCTTCAAAACGATTACATAATTAAGCATTTTTTTTTTTTGTAATTTTTGAGTTCATCATTTTGTTTAGACTAAAGCTACATTTAATCTAGACACGATTACGACAGACGACACGATACAGATGCAGATACAGATAATTCCTCCATGGTTTTACGACATTGGTGAATTTCATACAGTAATATGTCAATAAACTGTTAAACTGATGAAGTTAAAAAAAAAGAAGAAATATACCAATAAACTATACAATTGTCAAACTGATGAATTACATACTGAATTATGCCAATAATTGTACAAATGTTAATCTGATGAGTCGCATACAGTAATATACCAATATACTGTACAACTTTTAATCCGATGAATCGCATACAGTAATATATCAATACACTTCACATTTGTCAAACGGATGGCCTATGTCTGCCTGTTTTTCTTTGTAGGTACAGTATATTCTGTCAAAATCAATTGTTTTATATCTCTAAAGAAATAAGCCTAAATTTATACTTATTATTATAATTTACTAAATTATTATATAGTTTGAGAGTGTGGTAGTAATATGACAATCGAAATTTATGTGATTAAATTAGTAAATGTTTACATTTATTGTATACATTGAAAAATTAATAAATGTGACCCCACTGCTCACAAACGGGCTGTAAACTCGCACTGTGAGAAACAAGCCTCAATACCCAGAATGTGAATTGTGTGTGAATTGGGTTTTTGTGTAATAAATAAAGTATAACTATTAATCTTACTATTCCTGAAGTTTGAGTTTAAAATTCCAACTGTAAGAGGTAAAATTTAGCCATTTTCGGATGTGAGCTATTGAAAAATAAATAAAAACCTGCCGAAAATAAAAGCATTTTTCTCAAAACTTGATTTAAGAAAGTTGATAAGATGACAATTATTCAAACGGTCATAACTCATTTTGGCCTCAGGACGAGTTTACAGCCCGTTTGTGAGCTTGGTTCACAAATGTTTACATTTATTGTATACATTGAAAAATCCGCAGGCATAGTAAACAGGTACAAAAATGTTAACAATATTTGAATTTTCATTCAAAGCAAATCTATAGGAATAGAAATATCAATTCAATGCACTGACTACGTTTGCATTTATTTTGATTTGATTTTACTTTATTTAGTAATACCGCAATAGATTAAATATTATTTGACAATGTGCAATAATAACATACAATTTTAACTATATAGAGTTTCATTATTTATTTATTACATTTTTATTAATTTCAGATAATCACATTTTTGTAAACAATTTTGTATTAAATAATTTTCCTAAAACATTCAGATGATTATGAACATTCTTAAAATATAAATCATTACCTCGCACGATCAAATCAGTCTGTTCCGTAAAATAGTAACCGTATGTACATATATTTACTTTTTTAAATTTTATGATTAAATAACATATAAGTTATGTTATCATGTGTACAACAAAAATGGAATTAGTTTAATGGGTAAATTCATTTATATGAGAATTTATAATTGAATATTTTTAGTCCACACTCTAAAGTATTTGCTACAGCAACTGTTTTATAAGAAACTAATGATAATCCAGAAGGATAATTCAATTCATTGTCTTCATCAATTCTTCTAATGAAATGTCCATCAATGTTGAATAACTGTAGTTTGTGGTCGCTAGTTACAACAATGTTATTATCATCATCTATTATCACTCCATATGGATAAATCACCCTACCATCTTGATTGCCTCTACTTACAATAACCTTCAGGAAAGTGCCATTCTCGTCAAATAATAGTAACCTGTGATTGTGACAGTCTGTTACAATCATATGTCCTTCCTTAGTAACAGCAACATCACATGGTTTTAACAATATGTTTAACCCAATTTTTCTGATCAGCCGACCACTATCAATGTTAAACTTGAATACACAATTCTTATCAAAGTCTGCTACATAAATTGCATTCAATTTCATGTTTGCACCTATACCACGGGGATCTCTCAATACATTCCAACCAATTGACTTCACCAAATAACCATCTAAATTTCCTACGGTTAAGCAATGATTTTCAAAGTCAGTAATTGCTATCAAATTATTTGTTAACATGTGCATTGATCTAACCTTAATATTTGATGGTAGTGTTATCTTACTGAGATATTCTCCTGATATTGTATATCTGTAAATTTCATTTGTCAAATCTGAATATAACAGACATCTATATTCTGGCATTACGACATCCCATACATAATCCATTCCATCTGGGATTTTTCTGTTTACCAGATCTTGTTTCTTGCATTTTTGTTGACTGATGAAACAGACTTGATGTGAAATACTGGCACCACTTCCCATCTTGGACATCTATTAAAATATATATAATACAGAAAATGAAGGCCATGCGTATTAACAATATAGGTATTAACATAAAATATAACACAAAGAAAGCAAACATATAGTATAAATAATCTCGTGACCGATTGGTCAGTATGTTTTCAGGAAAGAAATTACAAGGAGACATGTAATTTCTCGATATTATAATCATAATGATAATGTCGGATTATTGTAGATCATGGATTTACCTAATGATAGGCACTTTTAATGAAAGATTAAAAGATGGTTGAGCTATCCCACGCTGGACATTATCCCGGTATATCTGGGTCTATGTTTCGAAGCTAAAAACTCAATCACCTAATTGAGAGAAAAAAGGCACGTGCATCGACCACCACCTCAGAAAAACAAACTGAGCTTATTTTAGGTAGACAAAAAAAAAACAAAACAAAACAAAAAACAAAACAAAACAAAACAAAACAAAACAAAAAAAACAAAAAAAAACATTTATCATTGGTTCTATGACAATTATTCAAAAGCTTTGATTAATCGATATAGCATCTTGTAGAAATCTGGGCAATAATATTAACTAGTGGTTAACAAAATATATGCAAACCAAAATAAATGCCTCACATGCGCACATTGGATTTACACTGTTAATGATACGGTACTCTAACCAAACAAGCAGAGATAACGTACTGTTAATGTCCCCCTATTAGTAATGTGTGTTAAGATATGCAAACCGGTGTATTGATGCTAACCACGAAAGCAGGCATAAAGTACAGGTAAATGTTTCCCAATCAACTTATTTAGGTTTAATCACATAATCACAGAGCAAAGTATAAGTTTGGTTATAGATCTAATGCTTTTGATCCATTTTATCAAATCACCTGAATTAAAGATAACAAGATAATAGACCTACATAACTTTGTGAACTCAACAATTAATGGGCGTAGTTATGGTTTCAATATCGGTAACTTATTTGGGGCGTCGGGGCTGCCAAATGACCTCGTATTTCATGGCTTCACATGCCTTAACAGCCATTCGTACATCTTTAACCAAAAGACACAGGTGCAGTTGTGTCAAATAAAATGTGTATAACGGCACGTTGCTCCTGCAAAATGAGCAAATGTTGTATACCCAGAGATGTGCACATGTGCAGCATTGGATGAAATCTGTTACAACACTGATTCACACGATGGTGATGATGATGACAATTTAATCTACAATCCGACAACCCTAATATTACTATAGTTCTCAATTATATAGTTCTTCATATCGTCTTGTGATTTTCCGTCAAATGATTTTTTTAGCCCCGAAAACCAGACCCTGAAGTACCAGGATGATGTCAGAAGTGGAATATTTTACCTTAAACTTTTATTGAAATATCTATTTATAGATTAATCTGTTATCGACGGTCTAATATTTATATTCCTAATGATTATAGACTTGTATATCGTATAATACAATGTATATATGCGCTGCGCTTCAACAAAATATCAAAACGATCAACAAAACAAAAAAAAAACAATTATAATAATGTGAACTCTAATAAGAAAATGATTATGATCATTGCCTTCAATATCAATCAATCTAATTTCATGTCGCTTTATGTTTTACTGCTAAAACGATTTTGTGTCGGCACCGAAACTTAGACTCAGAGTAGTCTCCGGCGATGGATATAGTTTCACCCAGCAAATTTGTAAAGCAAAAACTTTGAAAACCTCTATTGTAAATATATATTTTTTCTACCTTGAATAAATTAATATTTTTTTACTGGGTAATTGTTTTATTTTATTGTTAAATATTGTAACGGATACCGTATCTACTACATGACAGTAATACAAAAAAAAAATTAAAACATTT